AGACGGCTCACCACTCTCGTCGTAGAAGTAGTGCACGGCGCCCTCAGAGGTGTCATCGAAGGTGCAGGCCTCGTGCACGCTGGCGCCGGCACGGGTGAGCAGCAGCGAAGAGGCGAAGTGCAGGGCCGAGGGCAGCGTGAGGGCCCGTGAGTGGGAGGCGGCCCGGCCCCGCTGGGCCTCCTGCAGACTGCTGGGGAGGGTCGGCCCCGGTCAGCCCCAAGCAACCAGCCACTGCCCCCTCCACCAGCGCAGACACGCACCTGGGTGGTGAGCCCATGACGGAGGCCGGCGGGGTGGGGTTGCTGCCCGCGTTGTGGCGTCTCCGGATGGCCTGGGTGCGCCTCACGCTGCTCGAGCGGTCCCGTTTGCCCGTCTCCTCGGCTGCTGCCCAGAGAGAGGCCCCCACAGCATCAGTGACAGACTCGGACAGCAGGAGTGTGGCAGGCGCTTGTGCGTGAAAGGAAAGTCAGGCCAAGTCCCACCATCCACCGAGCCCTGGCTCTGGGGTCCAGCTGAACGCCTGACCACGCAGCTGGCTGCCACAGTTAGAAACGAGGGCAACCCTGACGGCCTTGCTGCCCTGGTGCTCTAAGACAAACGTGGACACTGAACCCTAAAGGACAGAGGCCTTAGGTGCTAACTGCGAAGCCAGCTGTCCGAGGCGTCCTGGCCTCAGTCTCCTGCGGGCACGAGGGGATGGGCAGACGCCCACCTGCTGCCTGGAGCAGGCACCGTCCACTCCAGCTCGCCCCTTGTACCCACACAGCCTCCTCAGCTCCCCTCCCCGCCTCCCCGCTGCTCCCCCGCCCCAAGCAGGCACTCACCACCCCCCACAGCGCCTTCCTCCTGCAGCTCCCCGCGCCAGCCAGGCTGGTTGGCGGCAGGCAACACAGCGGGCTCCCCGCCAGCCAGCTCCACTGCCGCCTGGGCCTCCAGCTCAGCCTTGGAGCCAGTCAGGGGGGCCCTCAGGACATCGCCCCCTGCCCCATCCATGCTCAGCACACGGGCATGTGTTTTGGCGCTGGCAGTGCTAGGCGTCCGCTGGGTCCCATAGGGCCTTTTGGGGGGCACAGCAGTTCCCTCCTCAGCTCCGTGGGGGGCCCGTCGCTTCCGGGCCCCTCCTGCCGCACCCTGGGAGCTCTCAGGGGAGCAGCAGGAAGTGGAAGAGGAGCTGTCGGTGCTGTATCTGCGCTGGGACCGCAGGCTGGAGGCGGGGCTGAGTTCACTACCCTCGCTGGTGTCCTCATCCTCGAAGAAGCCCCCACCTTCCAGCAGGGGCCGCCGAGGGGGCCGGCCGGGAGGGGAGTGTCTCCGCAAAGGCGGCCGCCGTTTGCTAGGCCGCAGCAGGGCCAAGTCCTTGGGCCGCACAACCAGGAGGGGCTCGACGGGGCCCGGCGGAGTTCCTGCCCCTATGACTGTGTCAAAGGAACGCAGCGTGTCATCGGAGGGGACCCCAGCATCTGGCGAGGCGGGCAGCTCGGCCTCGGAGGGGGGGTCTGTATCGCTGCCTTCGGCGGCTGGCCCCCCGGGGGGGCTGTCCAGGTGGGTGGAATTGGTCTTCTCACTCTTGAAGCTGCTCAGCGTCTCCCTGTCAGTACCACTGAAGCAGGAGTCCGAGGAGCCGGCTTTCTGGGGCATGGGCTCACCCGAGCCCCGCCGGTCCAGGGGCTGGTAGCCGCCCACTCCCCGGCGTTGTTCGCGTCGACTGCTGGTCCTCACCAGGGCCCGGTCAGGCCGAGTCAAGGTCAGGAAGCTCTTGCTCAGCTCCTGGCTGAGGCTCCCCTTCAGCAGGGGGCTCATGGGAGTGTCGGCTATGCTGCTCCCACTCCAGGGGGCTCCATCTCCCGCCAGGGGAGAACGGTCTGAAGAGTCTGTGCTGGGGAGGGAAGGGTCTGCGGCAGCCCCTGGAGGCGTCTGGGGCAGGTTTCCAACTGTCAGAGAGAGGAAGGAAAACGACAAAGAAAGCCCCAGAGGAGCAAAACTTGGGGTGACTCAAAGAGAAGACAGCTAACCCCCCTCCCCAGCCCCCACCACAGCAGGCCACTCACTCAGCTTCTCCTGCAAGCTCAACTTCAGCATCTCCCGGTCGGCTGAAGTCACAATCACGTTGTTGCTGCCCTGCTCCCGCACCAGCTCCTTGATGTCTGCAACCATCACCACAGGTGTTACCAGGACCTGGCGGCTCTCGTGCCATCCGGTTCTGCCCCACCCCCTTCGGCCCTGGGCAGCGGCCACTGACCTCTGAGTGGCCCAGGATCCTCCATCCGGGGCAGCAGCTCCTGGACAGCGAGAGAGGGGTATCAGAACAGGTTAGCAAGGGCCCAAGTAGGGTCGGCCCCCAGGAGAGGAGAGGAGAGGGCACGTTGAGGACGAGAACCACTCACCGAGACCTGGTTGAAGCCAAAGACGGAATGCTGGGAGCTACAGCGCACCGGGGGCGTGGAACTCACTTTCCGAAACACAGTCATCTCCACTCCAGGGTCCCTGGTGGCGGAAATATCAGCTGCCGGCTAACCTCTCCTCTCTGCACGGCTCTCCCTCCATCAGTTCCACCGTTCCTCTCTCCCCAGGAGCCCCTTCCACGTCCAGGGCTGACCACTGACCGTGGGAGAGCTGCCGAGCCACCCCTGGACCAATGCTCCCTAAAGCCCTCCTCCATCCCCCAGCTCCGGCCAGGGAACCAGGCGCCACCTCAGCCTGACAGCGCCGCCCCCTGCCCACCTGGGCGGATCACTGTCCCCCTGAGCAGGCTCTTCCTCAGGCTCCCCTATGGCAGGGTTGCGTTTCTCCACAATCTCGCCCTGGTCGAACATGGCATGCAGCCGGTAGTTGACAGTCTTGATGGTAGCGAAGATGACAGCCACCACCAGGCAGTACACGCCAGCCACCAGAAAGCTGGGGGGCAGGACCTGGAGGGGGCAGCAAGTCAGGTGGAGCCTCACTCCGCCCTGCCTCCAAGAAGGGGCACCACGACCCTGCTAGGATCCACATTTCACAAGGAAACCCGGTCACCCTTTCCCGGGAGGAGGACAGAGACCTGTCGCTGGGCTCTGAATCTGTTATGGAACAGCGAAAAGACCAGGGAGGGCTCAAGGTCACCCAGCCCAGAACTTGGCCTCTGCCACTCCAGCCCCACACTGATTCCCTGCCCCAGACCCCCGCCAGGCTGCAGGGCCTCTGTGACATCCGCCCACCCTCGCCCGCGGGAATGCGAGGTGGTGGCGGCATCTCACCATGTACAGCAAGAAGGGAAAGGTGAGCAAGAAGATCCAGACATAGAGATGGAAGCAGTTGGAGAAGGTGCTCTGATGCGGGTCGAAGAACCAACCGCCGGTGAGCGAGGCCCACACCCCCTGGCGCAGGATCTGCAACACCTGCGACCCCATGGCCCCGCCGCTGCTGCGCGCGCCCCCTTCCCGGGACCCTCATGGGGGCGGCCCCCGGTCCATGCCCCGCCTGGCGCCCGAGGGCCCCGGGGCCCAGCCTCGCGCTCACGCCATGGCCTCCCCCAGCGGGGGAGCAGGGTAGTCGGAGTGAGGGTGCGGGCAGGGGGCGGGGCCGGCCGAGGCAGTCAGCGGACCGAGGCCGGGGCGCGGGGGTGGCGCCGCATCAGGGGCGGGGTCCGAGCCCCCACCCCCGGCCCAGAATTGCTCCGAGGGGTCGAGCTGGCAGGCGGGCGTGGGGCACTGGCCGGGTACCCGTCGGCGGCATCCAGAGGTGGGCGTGGGATGGGTGTTTCGGGGGTGCCGGTGGCGGCTCCCTCGATGCCGGCCTGGGGAGAGCCCTGGGACCCCCGAGGTCCACTTCCGGGGTCACAGGTCACTGGCTTAGGGCTCCGCGCTCGCCCCTCTTCAGTAGAAGCCGGCCCAAAGGGGAGGCCGGAAGAAGGAGCCGCGAGCCACCAGCCTGCGGAAGCGCATGCGCCCCACGGGTCCAGTTGGGACCCGGAAAAGGAAAACCTGACAGCGCGAATGCGCAAGCTTAGGGAAGTGTGGAGGCTAAGAAGCGAGGGGAGCCCTTTGAGCATGCGCAGAGTCCGGGTCGCGGGCAAGGTCCAAAAAGTAAATGAAGGTGCTTGAGCGCATGCGTACATCTAGGCGTTGCCAATGAAGCGGCGGCCTCGGGGCGGAACCGGTGGGTCAGACGAGTGGCCATTGGCTACAGCCGAACTTTGCGCACATCTCTTTCAATGAGTTACAGGAGGCAGGAAAAGCATGGAAGCGTGGGTCCTCAGGACCACAGGAAGCGCTCTGCTGTGCTTCGGCTATTCTCTTGGCCCGCCCCTTTTAGTTACTGCACATCAACCGTCAAGAGCGTCTCGCTTTCCGTTGCGCCTCTACTTCCGGGTCAGAGCTCAGACCTAACGTGTAGAGAGCAACCCTCTAGAACAGGCAGGAATAATCGAAGTAGGATGACATCGCTTTCTTAAAGGGGCAGGCTCAAGGCAACTGGGGTCAACGCAACGGTGATGAGGGCGACTGTAGCCACACTGAACTCCAGTTACAAAGTGAAGTTCGAGACGACAGTGACAGGTTTTCTCCCACTGGGGAAGGTGCTTGACGTCGATGCCTTACAGTTGAGAGGAAGAAGCCGGCCTCAGACAGCCCATTCCCAGAGCCTGAGGCGCCGCCTGAGCCGTCCCCTTCCCTGTCGCCCCCACTCGCTCTCCCAGGCAGCGTCCGGCCCGCACTTCCCGGACGGGGAGCGCGAGGCGCAGAGAGGGTGGGTCACACGCCCGCCGCTCCGCGACCAGGCCAGCCTTGGTTCGCCTCGCGCCCACGCCAGGCTTTTAGCCCCGCTTGCTGGCGCCGGCGGCACGCCCTGAGCAAGACCATCCCGGCGCCCGCAGCCCGCCGCGACGGGGCCGGGCCGCCCCGTCCCTCGCGCCCCGCCTCCCCAGGAACTCCCCAGCCCCGACGCCCGCAGCCTCTGGGAGGGGAGCGGTGCTGCCGCCCGCCCGCGTCATCTGATGCTGTTTCCTGCAGGAGGAGAAGAGCGGAAAAAAGTGAAACTCCACCCTCCACCTCTGCCTCCCGCCCCCGGGGCCAAAGTACAAAGGGAGGAGGAAGAAGGGAACGGGGTTGGAGCCGTCGGGTGAAAGAGTCTGGCCAGGAAGAGGCAGTTCGGCCCAAGCAGGGACGCTCCAGCCACCCCCTGCACAAAAAGATCAACCCGAGCCGAGCCCAGGCGCTGCCCCGCGGCCGCCCAGCGCACACCGGCCGGTGCCGAAGCCAAGCTCCCAGGACTGCGGCACAGACGCCCGGGCCCTCGGAGCCGGCCATGGTGAGATGCCGGAGGCCCCGGGGTCCCACCCCTCAAGCCTGACCACACCGCCCCTGGTTGCCCGCCTCTAGAAACCGGAGATGTGGGGGGCCGGGAGGCGACACTCCTGGCTCCCCAGAGAGGCGTGGGTCTGGGGCTGAGGGCGAGGGCCCGAATGCCCAGGTTCCGGGACTAGTGCCTCTGCAGCCACCAGGGGCAGGGACCAGGGGCACCCCAAAAAGGTCCCCCCACGTCCCAACGCCAGCTCCCAGCCATGGAGCCCTTGAAGAACCTCTTCCTCAAGAGCCCACTGGGGTCATGGAACGGCGGGGGCAATGGGGGGAGCAGCGGAGGCCGGCCAGAGGGACCCCCGAAGGCAGCAGCTTATGCCAATCCAGTGTGGACAGCCCTGTTCGACTACGAGCCTAATGGGCAGGACGAGCTGGCCCTGCGGAAGGGCGACCGTGTGGAGGTGCTGTCCCGGGATGCGGCTATCTCAGGCGATGAGGGCTGGTGGGCAGGCCAGGTGGGCGGCCAAGTGGGCATCTTTCCATCCAACTATGTGTCTCGGGGTGGCCCGCCCCCCTGCGAAGTGGCCAGCTTCCAGGAGCTGCGGCTGGAGGAGGTGATCGGCATCGGCGGCTTTGGCAAGGTATACCGCGGCAGCTGGCGAGGCGAGCTGGTGGCCGTGAAGGCCGCTCGCCAGGACCCCGACGAGGACATCAGTGTGACAGCAGAGAGTGTGCGCCAGGAGGCCCGGCTTTTCGCCATGCTGGCCCACCCCAACATCATCGCCCTCAAGGCCGTGTGCCTGGAGGAGCCCAATCTGTGCCTGGTGATGGAGTACGCAGCAGGTGGGCCCCTCAGCCGGGCCCTGGCTGGGCGTCGTGTGCCCCCCCACGTGCTGGTCAACTGGGCTGTGCAGATTGCCCGAGGGATGCACTACCTGCACTGCGAGGCCCTGGTGCCCGTCATCCACCGAGACCTCAAGTCCAACAACAGTGAGTTTGGGGAGCATGGTTGGGGGTGGCATGGCGCAAGCACACACCTCCCTAATACCAGCTCCAACCTGAGCCTTCTGGGGATCGGCTGGTGGCTTAGCTCCTGCCCTGGGAGGTCCCACCTGACCAGAGGTGCCCAGGGGCTCCGGGACAGGCATCCCTCACTTCCCAGTCTCAGGAGGAGTCCTTGACCCCAGCTTACAGCCGCCAAGGTAAAAAGCGGGGCTCCCGCAGGTGGGCCACCAGCATCCTGCTGCCCCGGGCCACCACCTCGAGGAAGCAGAGCTGCGTTCCGGTGCTACTCACTGTCCCCCCCTCCCAGAGGCACGCAGTACTCTGTTCTCCCTGCCGCTCATGTTGGGTGGCGCCTCTGGACAGTGATGGGGGAACCCCTATAGTGGTGAAAGCTGGGGCCAGGAATTCTGCGTCCCTCCCCTGGTCGCGTGACCTCTACTGGTTATTTCAACGCACAGCCTCAATGTCAGGCTCTGCAAAGGGAGGGGCTGGAAGCAAAATGGCTCAACGGACACACCAGCCCTGGCGTCTGATGCCAGACACACAGTGGGGCCTCAGCTGGGCAGAAGTGGACATCTGAGGGCTGGGTCACCAAGAGGGCCTCACCTGGAATCAGCCCTTGGGGTGGGCGTGGCAGGGCAAAGGGAGAATCAAGCAAGAGGCACCCCTTGGGGACAGCCATCGCAGGCCCCCACGATGCCCTGTAGAGGCTTGGAAGAGGGAGTGACCAGTTCCACAGGCTTCCCGAGACAGGCGAGCATCCCACCAGGCCACAAGCAGTGGGCTGTCCGTGGATGTCCGAGCAGGGCCTGACAGGGGCAAAGGTGAGGCGCAGACCCAGCGCGGCAGTGGAGATAGGAGGCTGGGCCAGCGAGGGCCCGTACCGCGGAGCAAACAGAGGTGCAGGACGAGCCAGAGTGCTGAGCAGTTACCAGCAAGACGTGGGTGGGCCCCTGCAGGGTGGCCTGGGCTGAGCATGGACCGGAGGCTTGCAGGAGGCAGGACACTAGAACCCAGCTATACCCAGTCCGTGCCAGGACTGGAGGGGGGCAGAGCTGCCAGCCACTCCACCCACCCCGTTTATCTGTGGCAGGGGCACTTCCCGCTTCTCAACCTTGCTCTGGGCCCTAGCCATCAAGGGACTCGCTCTCTGGCCCAGCCTGAGGGGGATTCCCCGAAGGCCTGGGGGGGAGGGGACTCCTGTTTTCTGTTTTTCCTCCAGTTTTCTTTCCAGAGAAAATGGAACAATAGCCCAGGCCCCTGCTCCCCACCCTCCCCACCGCTTCCTGCGTTTCCTGCTGCCCGGAGCAGGCTTCCTGCCCCTGCTCCAGCCTCGGTTCCCTCCCCAGCCCAGCTGCCTGCAGGGGAGGAAAGAACTGGGGGTGGGGGATTTGTGGGAGAGGAAGGAGCCAGGGATGGCACCCCATGCCCCCAGCCCCGCTGCTTTCCCCCACAGGGTCTGGGGGTGGTAAAGGGCAGGCAGGTGCACTCAGATTCCCTGAGCCCAGCCTCCCACCTCAGACCCCAGTCCTAGGCTCGGGGTGCTGTCTGTGGGATTGGGGGGGAGCCCCTGGGCTGGGGGGGCACAAGCAGGAAACAATGGCGTGATTTTCCTGGACAATGGGGGCCTTGTGAGGAAGCCTGAAGGGGAGAGGAGGGGAATTCTCTAGGCCCACGAGTCACAGGACTGACCAGCCAGGCCGGCCCGGGTCTGACCTCCCCCAATTCTCCCCCAAAGGGCCCTCCCTCACCCAGTTGGAGACCTGGCCCTGTCCTCCCAGAAAGGAGAAGTGGGGCCAGAGGAGGGAAGCGGAAGAGGTGTGAGCTGCTCAGGCCACTCCCGAGCCCCACAGAGGCCAGTCTGGGCAAGGAGGGGGCTGGGAGGTCCCTTTCAGAAGCTGGGGAGCCCTGAGGGGAGCAGGAGCCTGGGGGTCTTCCAGGTGACCCCTGAGTCCTTCATCAGCCACCAGGAGAGCAACTTGGGCTGAGACTGGAGGCACTTGAGAAAAGCAGAGGGTGTGGGTGAGGCTGAGGGTGAGGCTGGCAGGTGTCACGATAGCCTGGAGGTGGGAGGTGGCGGAAAGGTCACCAGGACAAAGATGTCCAGGACTGGGGCCTCGGATGACCTGGCCGAAAGGGAAGGCTGGTCCTCAGCCTGAGCCGCTTCTCCATCAGATTTTAGCACCCGGGGCCCACCACCCACGCCCCTGCCAGGAAGCCGCCGTGTTGGTCTTCAAGAGGACGCGTGGGTTCGGGCACCACAGAGGGCCTGGCGTGCCCCCAGACTCCAGCACACAGACCCCTTTGCCTGGTTCCGCTATACCCCACCCCTTCTTCAGTTAGTTTCGGGGGGCTCACGCTCGGCACAGTCAGGCGCCTCCAGCAGCCGGACGGGAGGCTGCTACGAAGGCCGGGAGGTCGTGGTGGGACAGAGGACAGAGGACCGCCTGCGTGGACAGCCGTCAGAGCCGAGCTAAGCTCAACAAGGGGGAGCTTGCTTAGCACAGGGGCACCCCTTCGCCACTCAGCCCCTTCTGGCCCAGAGGGAGGGTGGGTCACTGGGCGCGAGCCTGGATTAAGAGAAACGGCAGGTTTACCGGCATGGGGGCCGGGGAAGCTGGGTGGACTCCAGGTGGGCAGTGCTGAGTGGCAGCTTCAGTCTGGAGCAGATGCCAGGGGGTTGGGGCCGCTGGCAGCAGACAGCCTGGAGGTGATGGGCAGAGTTGAAGCGAGGCTCCCAGGAGCACTGGCCCTGGACAACAGGCCGAGGGCGGGGAGGCCCTGGGAAGCAGCACAGGCAGCCAGAGGCCCCAGAGCCAAGGCCTGCGGGGAGGGTTGGGCAGCAGGGCCAGATGCCCCCACAAGACCCAGAGCGCTTGGCCAAGTGCGGGGTCAGGGCTTGTGGCTTTACAGCCAGAAAAGCGAGTTCCCTGGTTCCGCCACCGCCTCTGAGAAGTCGTCCCTCCCTGTACCCCAGCCCCAGTACCTGTGCCGTCCTTCTCTGGTGTGTCGCCCGCAGGAAAGCTGAAAGGCGGTGTCTGGCGGCGCAGTTGGCGTGGATGTCGCTTCTCGACAGGGCAGTGGGCTCTGGCCAGAACAAGCCCTTGCTACCACTGACCGTTGCAGCTCCTCTTACGCTTCTTACTAGAGCCATGTCTGTCCTGGTGGGAGGCTGATAAGCTGCTGCCTCTCCCCTCTGTGCAGAGCATGGTGGCCCCTTGGGGGTCTGAGCCAGGACCCCCTGCCAGAGCTGACCCTCCACTGCTACATTTGTCTCCAGGGCCTCCTCTTGGCCAAGAACCATCGCGTTCCCAGGCCCTGCCTTTCTCTCCATATCCAAGCACAGGGGCTGGCTTTGGACTTTCTCCTCCCGCCGGGAAGCCGCAGCAGCAGTGTGGTGTGGGGCGCTGCTCTTCACTCCCAGGGAGACCCGGGGCTCCCACGTCACCTAGCATGGCAGCACCCAGGTCTCTTGAAGTCAAAACTACCTGCCTGAGCGGCTGCCCACTGTTTATCCTGAGCCATTTTAATACCTGGTTGGGGGCTTTACAGCACTGGCTTTGCAGCCACAAACACCAGGTTGGAACCTCAGCTCTGTCTGCACACATTGACCTTAGCCAGGCATTTACCGCACCCATAAAATGGGAATAACGAGTCTGCCTCGTAGTTGCTTCAGTAACGTGTCCGCCGCGCGTAGCTCCTTCAGAGCGGCGTGTGACGTGCAGCCTGGCCTCTCCCGCCCCTTCATTGGCCGGGGCTTCCCAGCATCGTTATCGTTGCCTGTTTCTACTCCAGCCTCAGCCACCCGCCTCCCCTTTCCATAACGGTTCTTTGGAATGAGCTTGCACAGAGCTTACTAATTAGTCCAGTTCTGAGCCTCCGGCAGCTAGGCCATGAGATTGCAAAGCTGGGAATATATTTTTATAGTGGGTGGACAGCTTGGACCAGGACATGTCAGCGGCGGGGTTGGAGTCGCCTAGGCCGGGTGTGCTGAGGACTCAGCGGTGTCTGGCAGGTGACGTCTGCTCTCTGCCTCACCCCCCACCTCCTGGAGTCCAGGTACCCACCATCCTGCCTTCCTTCTCCCCAGTTCTGCTGCTGCAGCCCATCGAGGGGGATGACATGGAGCACAAGACCCTGAAGATCACTGACTTTGGCCTGGCCCGAGAGTGGCACAAAACCACACAAATGAGCGCTGCGGGCACCTATGCCTGGATGGCCCCCGAGGTTATCAAGGCCTCCACCTTCTCCAAGGGCAGCGACGTCTGGAGGTGCGGCCTGGTGGGGCACAGAGGTGGCTGCCAAACTCGGGCAGGGGGAGCCCAGAGAGAGGGGCCCAAACCATTAAGTTCCTGCCCTTTGTCTCACCTGCAGCTTTGGGGTGCTGCTGTGGGAACTGCTGACTGGGGAGGTGCCCTACCGTGGCATCGACTGTCTTGCTGTGGCCTATGGAGTGGCCGTAAACAAGCTCACACTGCCCATCCCGTCCACCTGCCCGGAGCCATTCGTACAGCTCATGGCGGGTAAGTGGCTGGGGCAGAAGGGTTGCAGGCAGAGCACCTTGGTCCAGGTCACACCAACCACAGACCCCTTCTTCTGTCCCTCCTCCACGCCAGACTGCTGGGCACAGGACCCCCACCGCAGGCCGGACTTTGCCACCATCCTGCAGCAGCTGGAGGCACTGGAAGAGCAGGTCCTGCGAGAAATGCCTCGGGACTCCTTCCACTCCATGCAGGAAGGCTGGAAGCGCGAGATCCAGGGCCTCTTCGATGAGCTGCGGGCCAAGGAAAAGGTGCAAGGAGGGGGAGCCAGGGTGGGAGGGCGCTAGCGCCGGTAGGGAGGCCCCCGGGTGGGAGGCGGACTGCGGCGGGTGGTTCGCTGACCTCACCCGCTTCACCATCCCGGGCACAGGAACTACTGAGCCGCGAAGAGGAGCTGACCCGCGCGGCGCGAGAGCAGCGGTCACAGGCGGAGCAGCTCCGGCGGCGCGAGCACCTGCTGGCGCAGTGGGAGCTGGAGGTGTTCGAGCGCGAGCTGACGCTGCTGCTGCAGCAGGTGGACCGCGAGCGGCCGCACGTGCGCCGCCGCCGCGGCACCTTCAAGCGCAGCAAGCTCCGCGCGCGCGACGGCGGCGAGCGCATCAGCATGCCCCTGGGTAAGGGGCGGGTTCCGGCACGACGCCCCGCCATTGGCTGCGTGGGCGGAGGGGCGGTGTCAGACTTTGCTCGCCGCACTGCGATTGGCTTAGAGTGTTGATAAGCTGGGAGGGGTGGGGCTAGGGGTGTGGTGGGGATTTTCTTGGACGGGATATTTGCATGTCGGCCTGGGAGTGGCTGTGGTCGGGAAGGGGCGGGGCTCGTGGACGTTCTGGGACGGCTGAGGGGGCGGGGCCGGCCGGGGCGGGGTCCGGAGCTGCGATCGCTCGGGCCGGTGACCCGGGCCCAGGCTGCCGCCCTCTACCAGGAGCCTGGGGTCCTGGGCAGCAGAGGGGCTGACCCCAGGCAGACAGCCGCCTTGCCTAGGCGGGTCACCGCACCGCCTGCATGGCCTAGGAGACAGCTGAGAGTCCTGCGGGATCCTGGCTGCTTCAACCACAAACTCACCCTGCTTATTTATCTCCCGACCCAGACTTCAAACACCGCATCACCGTGCAGGCCTCACCTGGCCTGGATCGAAGAAGAAATGTCTTCGAGGTCGGGGCTGGGGACTCACCCACTTTCCCCCGATTTCGGGCTATCCAGTGTAAGCAACCTCCTGAGCCCTGCATGCCCCCTCTCTGGGTCTCCTCTTCTTCCTGCCTCACCCATCAGTCTAGCAGCTGACATCTGAGTCCCCCCAACAGCATTTACTTTATTAATTTTTCTTTGTGGATTGTGTGACTCTAAGTACCACTTCTGAACGCTTTGCTCTGTTAACTCCATTCCTCGGGGTAACCCTTTGAGGTAGCTGTTATTCTCACTACACAGAGAAAGGTGAGAACAGAAACTTACTTGCCCAACATACAGCTGACTAGTGGCAGAGCCAGAATTCAAGCCCAGGCCATTTGGCAGGGCTTCTAATTACTGTGCAGCAAATGCCCACTGAAGGACCAGAGGAGACCTCCAGCCTGCTGACCTCCCAGGACCCAAACTGCCCACCCTGCCCCCACTCTGTTCCAGTTCTCAAAGCCCTTGGGGACAGTCTGCTCCCTGTTCACTGCTCCCTGCAGTCTCATAGTGGGGCAAGGGTCAGGGCTTTCACCCTCAGGTCAGGCTTCAGCTGTTCCTCCACCCCCCTACCCCCACAGTGGAACCTGCAGAACCAGGTCAGACCTGGGGACGCCAGTCCCCCCGGCGTCTAGAAGACTCAAGCAATGGAGAGCGACGAGCATGCTGGGCCTGGGGTCCCAGTTCTCCCAAGCCTGGGGAAGCCCAAAATGGGAGGTGAGTGCCCAAGTGCCCAGACCCCATATCAGCTGCCTCCCAGCAGCCCTGAGATTCACAGCACAACTCCTCTGCTCACCAGGAGAAGGTCCCGCATGGAAGAAGCCACGTGGTACCTGGATTCAGATGACTCATCTCCCCTAGGGTCTCCTTCCACACCCCCAACTCTCAATGGTGAGTGGCCCTGGCTCCCCCCTGCAGGTTTTGCTGCAATTCCTCAGTGGGTCCACTGGAGAGGCTCCAAGAAGCCAGCAGACCAGGCAGGAATCCAGCCCTCACTGCTTTCATTTTAGAAACCCGGGAACTGAGGCTGAGATGGGCAGACCTGTCTTAAGACCCCAGTCTGACCTAGAGGCCCATACCTGAGCTGAATTCCCAACCTGCCCAGGCCTTAGGGGGCCCAGGAGCTGACCCCTGTGTTCAGGCCTAACCTAAGAATGGTCTCTCCTGGCCATCAGCAGACTCTAGGGAAGGAAGGAAGATGGGGGATGAAACCCCCTGTTTGGAACCCAAGGTAAGCGGGGCCCAGAGAGGAACAAGAAAGTACCCACATGGGCTGGAGCCAGGCCAGCCTGCCCCCTGTGCTCTTAGAGTCCCTCTGGGCAGTCAGTCGTGGAAAGGAGAGCGAAGGTGCAGGGGGCCCAGGGCCCGCTCAGGGACATTCTGCTTTCCTGTTCTCCATGATGGTCACCACATAGTGTGCGCCAGGCATCCCACCCTAGTCGCTGCCCTGGCGAGAGGGGAGAAGACCCTAAAGCCCCCAGTGGAGGGTTTGTCCCCCAGAGACATCGGCCCGTGCTCGTAGCAAAGCACATGGACTGCTTGGCATACTCGGGCACTGGGCTCCCAGTGCTGTCCTGCCCTCTCCTCTCGGTGCTGCCCGGCCGGGCCAGGGGCTAGGAAGTTGCAGCCTTCCTCGCCAGTGGGTCCTATGGGGCAGGTAGACTCCCGCCCTCACCTCCGTCCTGGCTGAGCTGCATGCCTTCGTCATAATGTCGGCCGCATTCTCTGGGCCCTCTTGTGCACCAGGCAGAGCTGTGAGATGGGTCTTCATTAGGAGGAAGCCAAAGCGCAGAAGCTGAGTGGCTGAATGCTGAGCGCGCAGTCCAACAGGAGTTTGAACCCCAATCTGACTGACCCCCGATCTGGCATGCCATTTTCTTCTCCAGCAGTTGCATTGCCCCATGCTGGCTGTGCTGCAGGAGCTAAGCTGAGAACTGGGACATCAAGGGGGCTGCCTCTAGAACATGCCAGGCCCAAAGGGTCGCTGGGCAGCGTGGTCCTCCACCCAGACACGCAGGTTGAAACAGCCTGACCTGTTCTGCAGATTCCTTTGGCTGTGCCCTCCCTGTGCTCCCAGAAACAGGGACTTAAGACACCCCCCCCTTCTCTAGCTACCTCCTTACCTGAGACGACATCACCTGCCCAGCACAGCTGAGCAGTGGTTCCCCTGGGGCAAGCCCACACTCTAGTTGCCGACTTGGACCCATGAGTTCATGATCTTGACCTTGACGCTGTCCACATTGTCAGAGACCTACCTGACAGTCAAAGAAGAAGTTGTGGGGTTGTCCCTGGCATAATGGGGCCCAACCCTGTTCCCAACAGTCTGACCCCAGGGGCCTCTTGCAGTGAGCTGCTGTGGTGGGTGGGCAGCTCCACTGACTAAAACTGCCCTGTGCATCTCGGGCCTGCAGCCACCTGCTCACCCGTGGCCGAGCCCTCCGTAAGGCCCCATGGAAGCAAGGTCACCCCCACCTCTGGGTCCAGAATGATGGGGCTGTTTTCTCTAAACCACAGGATCCCCCGCTCTTACTGCCCAGAAGCTTAGAGGCAAGTTGGAGTCCTAGCTGGGTTACCAGGGCGAGTCGCGTCCTCTTGGAGCCTGGTTTCTCAAGCAGTGACCGCAGCAGCGTCTCTCCACTCCCCGTTTCTGCGCGGCCTGTCTCCACTGCCTTGGCTCCGTTTCCTTGCTGCTTTAGTGTGCCTCCTGCTGCGCTGGCTCTCACTGTGGAGGCCCAGCGCCTTCACCCCCAGAGGGAGGTTCAGCGCCCGCTGTGTGGTACTTTCGGAGTGGCCAGAACGGATTCTCCCATCAAACACAAATGCATTTTATGAGCCAGCAGTCAACACATCAGAGGCCTAAGGGCCTGGCCCCGGGGGCCTGAGTCTGTGAGGAACAGACTAGAAATTTGCAGGGGCTGTAGGGAGTAGGACGGGCTGGGCCCAGGCAGTGTCAGCCCCACGGGAGCAGCTCCCCGGTCAGGGGTCCCCGAGAGGCCCCTGAAAAGGGAAAATGTGAGGTGTTCCCCACAGCCTCCTTCCTCCCCTTGACACCTTCGTGTGGGGCTGTCCCCACTGACTCCAGCAGCAGCTGCTGGAACCTTCTCCAGCCCCACTTCAGTGCGCTGCCCATCCCCTCGTGAGGCCGGGCCAGCGCCTGGCTTCTGACGGACAGGCCTCAGAGGCGCCGTCACCCCTTCCTCGGGCCTGATGACTTGCTAGAGTGGCTCACGGGAGCCAGGGCCACCCTCTGCGTGCTAGATTGCCCTCTTGTTGCAAAGGACAACCCAAGGATGGCCGGCAGCAGAGAGGCGCAGTGAGAGGTTCGCGGGGGCGGTGCTCCCAGCCTCTCCCGGCACCTCCTTCTGCTCACCCACGCCCCAGCCGAGTCCCAGGCCCCCCAGGGTGTCCTGCACGCTTCCTTCCCTGGCCGTGGTGACTGGGCTCGGTCGCCAGCCCTACCCCCCACCCCGAACCCCGTCCTCTAAAATCCCAAGGTTGGGTCCTGGGCACCCAGCACGCCCTCCTGTGGAGCTCCCCAAAGTCACCTTTAGTTCAGGTGTGGTTCTGAGGGCGTCTTACAAGCAAGAGGTGCTCTTTTTGCCTTTATCACTGTCACCAGGAAAGTGCCAGGGTTTAGAACCTCTGCTCCAGGAATGAGAGGTGCAGCGGTAGGCGGATTTCTCACAGGTCTCAGCAGCGCCACGGGGAGGCGGTGACCTCTCCCTACTGGTCAGCGATCCGAGGTCCCTGGCAGCCTGGTGGAGCAGGCCGTAGGGCGCGTGGCGCTCTGGGGAAACACGGGGCGAGGAGAAACCTGGCTGGAGCTGAGAGCTGGGGGGCCTCAGAGGGGCGCCACCAGCCCCGCGGGAAGATAACCTAACCTGTCCACCCCCCACCCCTAGGCAACCCCCCGCGGCCAAGCCCTGAGCCAGAAGAGCCCCGGCGGCCAGGCCCCACGGAGCGCGGCAGCGGCTCGGGGACGCCCAAGCTGATCCAGCGCGCACTGCTGCGCGGCACCGCCCTGCTCGCCTCGCTGGGCCTTGGCCGGGACCTGCAGTCCCCCGGGGGGCCCAGCCGCGAGCGTGGGGAGCCCCCGCCGGCAGCCCCCACGCCGCCGCCCACGCCTTCCCCTGCAGAGTCACCCCCATCCCCGCTCATCCGCTTCTCGCCCAAGAGGCCAGAGGCCCCCGCCTCCCCTCTGAGCCCCGACGCTCCCCGCCCTCACACCCCCGCGCCCCTGCTGCTGGAGCTGGGTGTCCCCACTGGCCAGCCGTCAGCCAAGAGCCCCCGACGCGAAGAGGAGGGACGCGGTGAGTCCTCTGGGGGGCCGGTGACATGCTGGGGGATCAGGCCGGGCCAGTTACCTGCTGGACTCTGCGGTGGGCCTTCAGGGCAGCGGGTGTGGGGCCAGGCCAGCTGGGGAGGCGGGCGCGCGTGGGAGGGCCCCCCAGTGCTGGGCGGCCGCCCCAGGCCGCTCGCCAAGCTCCACGCTGTGCACCCCTCTGGCGGCCTTTCTTTCAGGGCGCCTGTGCCCAGAAACTGCCCCTTAGCTAGGCCTTACTGAGCAGCCACACTGGCAAAGGGCTGTGGAAGTTGTGAGCCAGGCACATTGCGCGGATGGGGAAACTGAGGTACTGCCTCCTGGAGACACCCAGGGGTCGGTGGCTGCCTGACTGTGTCCCTTTGCCCACGCCTCACAGGAAGCACTGTCTCGCCCCCACCTGGGATCTCCCGCTCCGCTCCGGGCACCCCCGGCACCCCACGCTCACCACCCCTGGGCCTCATCAGCCGTCCTCGGCCCTCCCCGCTCCGCAGCCGCATCGACCCCTGGAGCTTCGTGTCCACTGGGCCACGGCCTTCACCCCTGCCCTCTCCACAGCCTGTGCCCCGACGGGCACCCTGGACCTTGTTCCCAGACTCGGACCCCTTCTGGGACTCCCCACCAGCCAACCCCTTCCGGGGAGGACCTCAGGACTGCAGGGCGCAGACCAAAGACGTGGGTGCGCAGGCCCCGTGGACACCAGAGGCAGGGCCCTGAGCGGGCCGTCGGCCGCCTCGCGCCCGCGCCTGAGGAGCCGCATACACTGGAACGGCGCCGTGAGCCCGGGTGCCCCCAGGGCGCCGCCCCGCGCGGGGCCAGGAACACTACACTGCACAGGAAGCCTTCACACTGGATGGGGCTGCACCCCCACACACCTGCAACCTGTGGGTCCCTGACTCTCCTGCCCGTGGGCCCAACACTGTACCCAGCTGTGGGCGGACCAGAGCCTGTCTCAGGGAATCGCACCCACGTGGTGCGGGGGAGGGCGGTGCCGGGCCGAGGGGCCAGCCTCAGCTGTCACCAGCACTTTGGACCGAGGCCCATGACTGGGCCCCACCCCGGGGTCCTGGGGGCCAGGGGCTCTCTGGGTGCCTTCCTGAAGCCCCACCCGGGGTGGGGCCTTGGCCTCGGGGTCCAATGAAGCCAAATAAAGTCATAAACTGTTTTCCCAAGCACAGCCTGTCACCTTTCTGGGGTAGCCACGGCTCCAGCCAGTCCCAGCACCCTGGGAACCTCGTGCCCCGATACGATGGGGGCATGTTGGCCTGGGCATGGGCTGGGATGCCTGGCACCACACTCCCGGGATCAAGTCCCTGGCCTCACCCGCCCTCCATCCTCTGCTGCCACCCTGAGTTCAAGTGACCAGTCTCCCTGGTTGTGCCTGCTGGTCTGAGTCCAGCTACACTGTCCTCTCCGCCAGGTCACTCCTGCCCCATTTAGGGTGCTGGACCTGGGGGCCGGCAGCCCCCGGGGCTCTGTCCTGCATCTGTCTATCCCCACGGTGGGGCCCAGGAAGGCGGCCCACGTGGCACCCGGCCCGCTCACGTTAACCGTGGGTCTGGGTCCTAGCTCCCAACGGTGCCGAGGGCAGCGGGAGTCGAGGGCCAGGGCCCTCCCTGCACACCTTGGGCAGTAGCCCGGCTCACTGTCTCCAGCCTTCAGCAGGGCAGGCATTCAGAAAGTTCTCAGGAAAGATCCACAATGGAGACCTGGGTGCGAAAGGGTGCCAGGTGCTCTGAGCGTCCTTGACTCTGCCCCAGCCCTGGCCCCCATTCCCCTCCCACTCCCCTGCCACCCAGTGGCTCCCACAGAGTCCCTGGGGTCACTCATCCTCACTCCCCCTGGGCCAGCATCCCCACACCACCGAGTCTGCTGGTGCCCCAGCTGGAACGGCTCCCCTGAGTGCCCCTGGGTCTCCCACCGCTCCCCGGGGCTGCCATCCAGGCAGCCGGTGGTTCCTCGCTAAATGGGCTTCCCTGTTAACGGGTCTCGGTGCGGACCCCAGGAGGGAAGGGTCACGTACCTGTCCTCTTCCCTGGTGCCCCGGCCCTAAGCACCTGGCGGCCAGGGCACGTAGGGCTGAGTGTGACTGGGAGCCAGCGCTTACCGCTTGCCGCTCGCTCGGGGCCTCGCCTGCCTCCACCGGCCCCATCCCAGCTGCAGCAAACAGCAAACCGCGTCCTCCTCCCTCCTCGCCCCTAGAAACTGGGAGGAGGATCCAGCCATCTCCAGGCCGAGCCCCTCCCCGCCGGCCCGCCTCCCTAGCAGCGTTCCGGCTGCCCCCCCCCAGCCACCCACACAGCACCTCCTCCAGGCCCCACCCTGCCCAGCCGGCCCAGGTGCCGGGTGGAGCATCGGGCAGCTACAGCACCCAGCTCCTGGCGCACGCCATGGGGGGTCTCAGGCCCTGGACCCGATACGGGCTGCTGCTTGTGGCCCACTTGCTGGCCTTGGGGCTGGGGGCTGCCGTGCTGCAGGCCCTGGAGAGGCCGCCAGCGCTCCGGCGCCAGGCCCAGCTCAGGGCCCAGCTGGTCACTTTCCAGGAGAAATACGGGGCCTGCCTGCCCCCTGGGGCCCTGGAGGAGCTGCTGGGCACTGCCCTGGTGGCCCAGGCCCACGGGGTCTCTGGCCTGGGCAATGGCTCAGAGGCCAGGAACTGGGATCTTCCCTCAGCTCTGCTCTTCACTGCCAGCGTCCTCACCACCACGGGTAAGGCCGCCAGACGGCCGGGCAGGAGGGGGATCCAGAGACCACTGGGGTTCTTGGGGTACAGCCCTTCTTGGGGGTGCAGCCCTTCCCTTCCACCCGAGTGTCAGAAAATCTGGGCCCCATTAGGCCTGACATCAGAGCTGGGGCTCCCCACACCAACACACCCCAACTGGTGCCTCAACTTCAGCTGCCAGGAGGGGTGTGGCCTCCCCAGCCCCACCCCTAGACACCCTTTGAGGCCCAGGAGAGGTGCTCAGATCCTGCGGAGGGAGGGGGCAGGGGGCAGGGGACATGTCCGTGAGAGGGACCGAGGGAGCAGAGCCGGGAGTGGAGATTAGGACCACTGACTCGGGGAGAAGGGGGCAGGGGAAGGTTTCTTGGGGAGGAAGTCCTGATGAGATGTCACAGGCCAGCGGGCAGAGCTGAGGGGCAGGAATTCCCGGCAGAGAGAGCAGCGTGTACAAGGACCTAAGGAAATAAGGCAATGGGGCCCACGGCCCTGGGGTTTTTTTGTCCTGCCAAGTATCCGAGTATTTTGGCATTAAATTTGTGTTTCTGACTCCTTTGGAACTCCAGAAGCGTATTGGCACGGGGCCAGCAGCCCTGCCGGACAAATACGGGCCGGCCGGGGGCCCTTGGGGCCGAGCGCACCGCTCTGGTCCGCCCCCCTCCCGCCACTCCCCGGCTCCTCACGCCTGGCTCCTCCAGGCTGCTGTGTGTGCTTCAGCCTCCAGGCTGGCTGCTCTGCGCTCCCGGAACGTCCCACTCCCTGTCAGACCTCTCCCCACCCTGCAGGGCTGCAGCCGCCACAGCTGCGCTCATACTGCCCCTCGGAGCCCTTCAGGGGTCTTGACAGAGCCCTGCGCCCCCCAAGGGCAAGGGCGGGGCCTGGGAGGCCTTAGCACAGGGCAAAACACAGGGTGATGCGATACCCTCAGGGAACGTGAGTGGGTGACATCCCCCTGGTGGGTTTGGACACGGGTCAAGGGCACAGCTGCGGACTTCTCAGAAAAGCCGAGCTCCCTCTGGGCAGGACAGCGGTCCCCGAGTTGCCCCAGGACAGGAGGCTCAAGGGGTCGTCTCTTTCAATCTTCCTGTTCCAGAGAACTACCCAGGGCAGCCAAGGGACTTGCCCAAGCTCCCAGAGCGTGAGGAGCAGGGCCGCGGCGTCTCAGCCACCAGAGGGCAGCCTTCTGCCGAAGGCACAGTGGGGGAGGCGGGGACCCGCAGACGGGGCCCCTCATCCCAGGCCCTCTTCTCTCCAGGTTACGGGCACATGGCCCCGCTGTCGGCCGGCGGCAAGGCCTTCTGCGTGGTCTTCGCAGCCCTGGGGCTGCCAGCTTCACTAGTGCTGGTGGCCACACTGCGCCACTACCTGCTGCCCCTGGTCAGCTGCCCGTGTGCCTGGGTAGCTGCCCATTGGCAGCTGGCGCCCGCCAGGGCTGCACTGCTGCAGGCCGCCGGACTGGGCCTGCTCGTGGCTGGCACCTTCATGCTGCTGCCAGCCCTGGTGCTGTGGGGCGTGCAGGGCGACTGCAGCCTGCTGGAAGCTGTCTACTTCTGCTTCGGCTCGCTCAGCACCATCGGCCTGGGGGACCTGCTGCCCAGCCGAGGCCGGGGCCTGCACCCAGCGCTCTACCACCTGGGCCAGTTTGCACTTCTCGGTGAGTCCAGCCACCAAGGGGCACGAGGGGAAGGGGAGGCAGGAAGAGGAGCCTGAACTACGACTCCCAGGAGCCACCGGGGAGACTGAGCCTCATACTGAGCAGCCCTGGAAAGTCCCCCCGGCCCCATGGCTGTGTTGAGTGGGCGGCGAGTGGCACTGCCGGGAGAGGTCAGCACGCTGGGAGGTCGGCGGGGAGCATCACTGGCACCAGCAGCTGCCCTGGCAACCTCTCTTCCCCAGGCTACTTGCTCCTGGGGCTCCTGGCCATGCTGTTGGCCGTGGAGACCATCTCAGAGCTGCCGCAGGTCCGTGCCACGGTGAAGTTCTTCGGGTGCAGCGGCCCTTCGAGCGCTGAGGACCAGGGTGGCATCCTCAGCCAGGACCAACTAGCTCTGAGCACCCTGCACAACACAGCCGCTGCCTCAGAACAGGCCCCAGCTTGCTGACCGGGCAGGTGAAGCCTGGGGAGGCAGCAGCAGGGAGCGGCTGGAGACGGGGCGCGGGGCGGGGTGAGGACCTGGGAGCCTGATGAATAAACTGCAGCTGGGCTACCACGAGCAAAATGTGTTCCCCCCTTTGGAGCGGACGCTCCTGCCGAGACCCCAACCCCAGGCTGCGGTCCAAACCCAAGTCAAGGGTCACCCTTCCAAGGCCCGGGCCCAGCCTCCACTGGCATCTGGGAACCTCCCCAGCGGGCACCGACCCGTCAAGGATCCCAGACAACCTTATCAGCCCGAGATCCACCCCCTTCCTTCTATTGAAAGCCCCGTGGTGGACAGAAGCGGCGGCGGGGTGTATCCTCGTCTGACTTTATTGCAGGGAGAACAGG